CGGCGCATTTATCGCCAGAAAGGGCCCAGCCCTTACAAGGATTCCACGCTCCGCCTGCGGGATGGAGCAATGACGCTGCATGATTACTCGCTGTGGTGCGGGCACGATGTCAGCGCTGTCCCCCACGACCACCCTCTGCGTCGCGCCTTGGAGACGGACGCGCTGTGGCTCATGACAGAGAACAAGAAAGTTGGAGAGCGCAATGGCGCCAAGCTGGCGCGTCACTCCGAGACCAACGGCGCCCCGGTGTTCGCGTTCGACGCTGTTCACAGCGACCCTCGAGCAGAGAAGCGACCGCCAGATGAGTTTTACCAGCTTCGCACGAAGGTTCATTTATCCGTCGGTGCCCCAGTTCTGCTGACATCTAACCTGCTCTGGGAGCTCCGGGTGGTGCGCTTCGGCTTGATGAACGGGGCCCGCGGCAGAGTTGTCGGCATTGTGATGGACGCCGCCCCCCCTGCGTTGCCGGCGTACGTGGTCGTCGACTTCCCAGAGTACTGCGGGGCTCCTTTCTGGCCAGAACACCCGACGTGGGTTCCTGTCCCACCTATCCGGCGCCAGAGCAAAAAGGCGCGCAGCTTGGAGAGAGTTCAGCTTCCACTGCGGTTGTCGTGGTCCCTGACTGTCCACAAGGCGCAGGGCCTCACGTGCCCGTCTGGCGTATGCCTGGACCTCTCCACCAGCGGGCCCCGCTCTGCTGCGGCGTCTCCAGGCCCCCGGGCCCGCGCTGATAGAAAGAGCCACCATCGACGTTGCCTGTCTTCGGACGCCTCCGATGGGGAAGTCCTCGGCGGGCCGCCGGGGGCAGACACGGTCCAATGAGGAACCTCGACTTTACTGCTTCCCCTGCCCCCCCTGGATCGCGCCATCGCACATCCGCCCTCCTGGGGGCAGGCGCAGACCCGGGGCCAGTTTCAAACTCGCCCCGGGTTTGCGCCCGCCCCCGGGAAGGCGGATGTTCCATGGCGCCCGGCCACTGCCCGGGCCGCCCGTTTTCGAAGCGTCCCCAGAGGCCTCGCCTTCGTCGGCTTCACGCGCGCCACGGCGTGGGAGACCATGGGTTTCTGCCGCCTCCCTCCTCTCGCTGACTACGCGGGGCTTCGCCGACGCCCGCCTGCCCTGAGCAGCGCGGCGGATTCCGCGCCCGCCTCCTCCTCCATCCTGCTCCTGCTGCTGCTGCTGCTCCTCCTGCTGCTGCTGCTCCTCCCCTTCCTTGTCCTCCTCCTCCTCCTCCTCCTCCTCCTCCTCCTTCACTTCCTCGTTCTGTTCCACCCCCATATTTCCTCCTTAACATCATTCTACCCTCCCCTTCCTCCTCCGCCATCTTCCTCCACGTTCTACCTGTTGGCGTTCACTTGCGTGTATCCTCGTCCTCTCTGCCTGCTCCGATCCTGTCTCTCGCCCTTCTCCTCGTCCTCCTCCTCCTCCTCCTCGTCCTCCTCCTCCCCCCCTTCTCTCCGTGCCCCCTTTTTGTGATCTTTCCTCCTATCCAACCCTAGCCTTACTCACTCCGTCCCCAATCTTCTCCCCCTCCACGGCCCCCCCTCTCGTCCGCGCCCTCCCCGGGGGGAGCCCCGCGAGGTTACCGGAAATGCCTGGTTTCTTGCTCTGCTCACCTGGCTGGTATACGCCGTTGGCACGGTCTTGGCCCGTGGCGCCCCGCTGGCGACTCGACCATCGTTTTCCTCGCGCTCGCGGCCACCTGGCGTGAGAGGGGCGTGCCCAGGAAGCTCACCTACGTTCTCGCCTCCACCGAGCGGTCCAACGCCGCAGGGCGTACACCGAATTCCCTGGCATGTTGCTCTGGGCTGCACGATGCTCGAGCTTCCCTGGGCGCCCGTCAGCCAGTCAGCCCTCACCTTGCTGCCCCAGCGGCCGCCTTGTGAGCTGGCCCGGCCACACTGCTCCGCGCCTTGCAGCTCATTAGGTTTGTTCGCAGCCCCGGACAGCTTCTGTCGCCGCCTGCGCTCTTCGCTTGCGGCCGCGACCGAAAAAGTTTCACGGGCCACGCTTTCTTTCGCTGGCGCGCCTGGTTCACGCGCGCCCACCGTGCAGTGAGGTTTCTTGGCCGTGCGGTCCTCCAAGATGTTCCTCGCGCGGGAAAAATTCGAGCAGATTTTCGATGACCTCCACGAATCTACCTTGAGGCGGTGGGCGGGCTGGGGCCCGGACGACGAGGTTGCGCAGCATTTGGTTGCTGTTCCTACTTCCGACGACAAGGGCGACATCGCTGCTATGCTCAGCCGTCGAGGCGTTTTGCCTGTGTCTCCTGATGTCCTCGAGTTCGCGCGCTCCCAGACTGCGCTGCAATGCGCCAGCCTCGCGGAGGTTGTCAAGGCATTCCAGGGAAAGAAGGCGCTGGGCTGTCAAACGCACACACTCAATTCTCCATCCTACTTCTCAAAGGGCTGCTGGCCAGCCCTGGGTGTTTTTTCCAAACGCACGGGGGCGGGGGGCCCGCGCATGCGCAATCCTCCATGCAGAGGTCCTCGTGCGCTACGGGGCCCGGCCTTCCGCTGCACGGCGGCACCCCCTGCGCCAGCAGGACCTGGCTGAGTCCGACCGAGGCCCGCTCTGCAACCGTGGCTTTCGCCGTCGCGGCCTGACTGGTTCTCCAAACAGTGTCCACTCCCGGCGTTTGGGGTCCTGGCCCATATCGGGGTGCATGTTGCACTCTCTTCTGGCGAGCCCTCCACATTCCAAGGCGGAAGCCACGGTTGCGCCCACTAGGGGTGCCTCTCGTTCGTACTCATTCATCTGGAGGATGCCGCAGCGGGCCCCGCGGCGCCAGCGGCTACAGAGTTGCGCCATCCTGTCGCCCAGCAACCTGCTCCAGCACAGGCCGGGGGCGAGTCTGACAAGGCTCTTGATCGGCAGCGCCCCGCAGGCCAGCGCCCGCCCGCCCCGGTGTTCAACGGCTTTTTTGAAAGACAACAAGGGGCCCACTGCGGGATGCATGCGCTCAATAACGCAGTGGGTTTCCCGCTTTTCAACCAGGCCCTCATGAGGGCGGGCGCCGCCGCGTACGTTGCCCACTCAGCGCTCGACGGGTTGCCGGAACGCCTGAGAAACCACATTGGTCCATCTCGGCGGCGCGCGCCGGAGAGGGGGGGAGGAGGCGTTCCGACGAGGCACGGGATTCATCGAAGCTTTCGGAGCCTGCTGGCACGCTTCCGGACCAGTCTTTCTGGGCTCTACTGCGCCCCGTACCTTCGAAGAGGGCCTCCTCCCCCTTCCGGTCTGCGCGCCGCTGGCCATCAGGCGACTATTCCGAGGCTGTGCTGTCCTTTGTGCTCCAATGGCACGGGAACGAGTTCTCACTTAATCTTAACTCGCCTGTTCTGCCGGATAACGCGATGCAGGTGTTTGCGCCCAATGTTCTCGGCATTGTGGTGAATAAAACCAACGCGCACTGGATGGCAGTGCGGGTTCTCGCGGGACAGATGCAGCAGCGCTGCCGCGCGAGTCCGCCGCCGCTTCTGCGGGCCGCCGACTCGGGTTCGGGAGGGGTGCCGGGGGCCATTCGCTATCACGCCATTGCCCCTCCCAGTGCCATCTCCTTCACGTTATTCGGCGGGGCGCCCATTCGACATCATCATCAGATAGATCAGATATCAGTCAGATATCAATATTCCGTAATCCGCCTGCGCACGCCGTGCGGCGGATTTGGTTCTTGGACAGCGAAAGAGAGCCAACCCCGGGTTCTCTCGCCGACCTCGCTGCTTTTCTGCGGTCGCACCCCACTGCCTACCCCTTGCTTGACCTTCGTTGACGCCAGAGGCGCGACGACGGTTCTGCACCGCCTGTTCCCCGGGCCGCCTTTTAAAAACACGACGGGCCGCGGCGACGACGCTTGCGCGTCGGCTTCGTGCGGGCCGAGGACGAGGGCGAGGAAAAGGAGGGGGAGGCGGAAGGGGACGACGAGGAAAAGGGACACTGAGGGCAGTTGGAGGAGGAGGAGGAGAAGGAGGAGGAGGAGGAGGAGGAGCAGGAGCAGGAGGAGGAGGAGGAGGACGAGGACGAGGACGAGGAAGACAAGGAGGAGGAGGAGGAGGAGGAGGAGGAGGATGAGGATGAGGATGCTGGATGCTGGACGCTGGATGATGGAGTGGCCTGCCTCCGAAGAGACTGGTCCGAGGGAGGAGGATGTGGGGGAGGAGGAGGAGGAGGAGGGGCAGGAGGAGGAGGAGGGGGAGGTCGACGAGGAGGAGGAGGAGGAAGGGGGGGAGGACGAGCAGGAGCAGGAGGGGGAGGAGGAGGACGAGGAGGAGGAGGAGGAGGAGGAGGAGGAGGAGGAGGAGGAAGAGGAGGACGAGGCGGCGGAGGAGGAGGAGGAGGAGGAGAAGGAGGAGGAGGAAGAAGGGGACGACGACGACGACGTCGACGACGACGAAGAAAAGGGAGAGGGGGGAGATCGGGAGGGGGGAAGAGGAGGGGGAGGACGAGGAGGAGGAACATGACACCAGTGGGAGGACGATGGTGGAAGGACGAGGGGGGGAGAGGGAGGACGAAGAAGAGGAGGAGGAGGACGAGGACGAGGAAGAGGAGGAGGAGGAGGAGGAGGAAGAGGAGGAGGAGGAGGAGGAGGAGGAGGAGGAAGAGGAGGAGGAGGAGGAGGAGGAGGAGGAGGACAGCGCGGAAGGTGGGGGCCACCAGGTCCGCCGGCTCGACGACGCCCGCGTCGCCCGCGCCCGCCCCCTCACTCTTATCCGCAATTGCGGGGTGCTACGTTTCTATGGCGGGTGAAGTGGGCGGTCGCACCTCCTCTGCGGAGGCTGTGCATTGTGAACCCTCGGTCCTGAAGGTCGAACATCTGAAGCAACCAGGACAAGTGCTTTCGAACTTCAGGCGCCGTCGCTCCACGCAGCAGATCTTCCGACCCCAGCTGCATGCATCTGTATTTTAGGATATTTCGAGACACTCCGTCTTTGAGAGAAACCACTTCTGAAAAGCCAGTTCGCAGTCCCATCTTTGAGGCCTCGATGTGAATAACTGCCCGCTCACCTTTGACAAGGATGTGCCGCCGTCTGAGAGCCAGCAGCTCGCCTGCGCGCATGAAAGTGTCGAAACCGCATCACGGTTGCCAGACCTTCCCAGCCGAGGTCCCACGCTGCAGCTGCCAAGGCTAGGACCATGTCGGCCGTGAACGGTGTCGCCCGACAAGGCGTGCACTGCCTCTCCCACGCTCGCACCAGGCTCCAACTCTGCTGCAGGTTGCCCTTCAAGGAGGGCATCATCCACTGCAAAGCCGCTGTCGCATTGACCACCAGGTAAAGCGGCTCCAGCTCTGCCCAACACGCTTCTATGTACAAGCCGAAGTTTTTGTCCACGTCGTTGAGCGAGGACAGCTTCACACTGCGCGCCTTCCACCACACAAGAAGGCGACCGGCACATCGAACATACCGATCACGCGTGGCTTTAGTGACCTGTAGGTCGCGCAACCGCGTGCCTCGCTTACTGACTTGAGAACGCGCATGCAACCAGCTGCGACGCCTGCCGCCGCCAGCTGTCCCTTGGACCCTTTTCGGCGCCATTTCTTAGTCGAGAACTCTCTGGGCGGCCGATCACTTGGGTTGAGCTTGGTATTGATATACCCAACGCCCACGTACAAGTCTGAGCTGACGAGTATAGCAGCGCACTGTCGAGCGAGTCCTCGAAGCTTCCCCGATGACGTGCGGCCGCGGGTCAATATCGAGGCCACAACTTGGGAATCGACAAGGTGCAGAACCTTCACGCTCCTGAACGAGGTAGTGCGAGTCCTGTGCCGCAAGGAAGCGTTCACCGCCTTCAACTCGAGCGCGTTGATATGCAGCTCCCTCGACGACTTCGGCCACGGGAAGGACAGCGTCGGCCGCCAGCGCCACAGCGCCGGGTCAATCGAGGATCGCGGCCAAGCTTTGGGGCGGAAAGGCACACCGAGGTCGAGGCGGATGTCACTCCCCGACTTCTCGGCAATCGTCCAGAAAATCTCGACCAGCTTGCGGCCGATGGAGGTTTCCTTGATGGGGTCCTTCGAGAACTCCACCGACTCGTCGAGTAAGTCCTTTACCTCCAACTCGCTCGCGACCCCCTCGAGGTCGGTCGCCCTGACGGGCCAGCCCAACTGGCACTTCAGACCGAGGAACAGCCAGCTAACGACGCAGCAGGCGAACGCGTTCCCCAAGAGGCTGCAGCGATCGTTCTCGACGCTGCCACGGCTGGAGCCCGAGCTGGCTACGGACGGCGAGTAGTGGCGAGGGAATCCCATGAGCACCTCCTTCTGCGTGGCACACAAAGGCCTCAGGTCCCCCTTGGAGTCCCGAATCATGTGAACTAGCTCGTACTGGTACGGAGGGTACGCGTGCAGGTCCTGGGTCCACCTCTGGATGGCCTCTGGGCTTGCTGTCGATAAACCTGCAGGCTTGTACGGGACAGTCTTCCCCCGCCGCTGGAGAAACGTGCAGACTGGGCCCTTGTCCGATGCCCTGGAGCACCCTGAGGCAACCCAAGAGCTTGCAGGAGCCTTCGGGACCTGGAGTGCACTGATGAGGTCGTAGTTGGCCTTGGGCTCCACGTGCACCCCGGGGAGCTTGAGGACCGCCTCTCTCCGAGACAACCAGTACAATCGTGGCCTTCTACTCTCGGTAAAGAGGGAGTTGCACACGCTGATGGGCCTAGTCTGGAGGGTGCGGGAGAACTCCTGGAGGGATCCTGCGCTCATTGAGAGTACATCTTCCACGAGCCAATAGACAGGCACCTTCATGACGAGAGCAAGTGCGCTCACCACCTTGGGTATGCGCTTGCACAGGCCGCTCCGAGCGCCATGTGCGCCCTGCCGGTCGGCGTTCACACCGCTCGCGTCCTGGCAAGGGCTGCCTCCCGCAACGACCACGGCGACAATCCGATCCTGGAACATGGCCAGAGCCTCAAGCTGTCGGTCGTGAATTTCCTCGACTGGGCCCAGCTCGATCAGTCCAGGCCAGCGCGATCTCAGCACCCGGCGAGCCCGTTTTATCGACCTCGCTGCTCATGTAGCCCACGATGTCGAAACCAGCGCGCACCAGCGACACAGCAGCACCGCCGATGCCGTCAAACAAGCTCACCAACAGGACGCGCGGCGGAGCCCCTGGGGCGATCCTGGTCGGCTCGATCGTGCACGAGCCTGTGCAGCTGGCAATGCGATGGCCCCAGGTCTCAGGGCTCCCGAGAGATGCCAGGAACTTCGCGGCCCCCTCTGCGAGCCCCACGGCCGTGCACATACCTGCACCGTCTTCGCTGGCGTCAGAGCACGAGACGATGCCCGTGGTAGCGGCCCTCAGGCTGGTGGAGGCGAGGGGCATCAGCAGGCAGCTGTGCATCAGCTCGTCCAGGCTGGCTCTGGTCAACACAGTGCGGCCCGAGCCAATCTGCTCCCTTACCGAGTTGAACACCCCGAAGAGAGGACGTCGAAACTCTAGCGCCCTCACCCGGCGTCCCATGAGAACCAGGAGCTGGTTCCCGAGGGGGTTCTCTCTCGTCAGGAGCCACATTGTAAGGCTGCACAGCTGCACGTTCTTTATCCGATTGTTGGCGGCCCTGCCTGAGATCCCGTCCACCTCTACACCCATCCGCGTGACAAAGAGCTGCCTCTAGTTGGCCTTGTCCACGCTGATGGGGATTGCATTCCGCTGGTAGCTCTCCCTCAGCTGGGCCTGCAGGCGGCCAGGGGTGCCCACCATCGCGAGCGCCTCCTTGCGTCCAGCCGTCTCGCAGTTATCGAAGTCGTCGATGTACGCGCTCCACCACTCGCGAGGGCCCTCATGAGACAGGGGAGCAGCTGCAGCGGTGGGGATAGGACGGTCGCGCCGCCACTCCAGGTCAGCTGGGGGGGCGGCGCCAGCAGGGCGACCCAGAAGCGCAACTCGCCGGTGGACGCTCTGGAAAATGGGAACGCTGTACACCCAGCCCATGGGCAGCACCGTCATGGCCAGCCACACCTCCTTGGCCTTCACGCCAAGAACATGGCCGGGGATTGGGGTGCAAATCGCCATGTAGCCCAGCCGCGGCGCAGGGATGCGGTACATGAAGAAAGCTCCCTTCTGGTCGTCCCCACTCCAGAGCAGCACCTCCACGGGGCCAAGGGAGATGCTTACCCACGCCGGCGAGGGTGCCAGAGTCACTGAGTCCCCCGCCAACGGTCGAAGGTACGTATTCGTCGGGACCATGTTGAAAATCAATCGTGTCATTCTGGCCTCTCCCTCAGCTGGGGACCCCGACTTCGCCGCAGCAAACAAACCGTTCGTGACGCGACGGCCGCGGGCCACAAAGATGCGCTCAGCTGGTAGAGGGGCCAGCAATCCACGCTCCACCAGCTTGGCAGCGATGGCCCACCAGTCCTCCAGCTTCTCGACGTTGACCTTTGCATTCGGGGGCGACTCGGGCCACTCGGCCTCCGGCACGAGCGACATCTCGGGTTTGGTGGGCACCTCCTTGAGCTCTGGCCCCACATAGTCCAGCACGTCCAAGCGGCCGATGTCTTCGGCTTTGGGAAGGCCGGGCTCAAGCTCGCCGAGCTTCAGAGGGAGCGCCCGACAGTCCTCCTCCATGTCGTAGCTCGACTTCGTCTTCTTCATTTCCTGAGGCCAGAATGGGATGTCCACCGCCGCCAACGCGTCGCCCACGTGCCACTCGACCGTCTCACCGATCACACGTAGGCTGGCGGCCTGCACCTCAGAAAGGCGCCCGGCTGCTTCCCAGCGGTCCTTGCTCAGGTGGCCAAGGTAAATGTAATTCAGGCCCAGCACGCTCAGGAAGGTCCACACCTCGACCGCCATGACTTGGGCCTCCTTCTTTAGAGCAGCTGGCCACTTCGTAACATCCACGGGGGATCCCTTCTCTTCAGATCACGCTCCCAGGCGAAATAAGGTCGCCGGCTCCCTTACTGGCAGGGGCAGCACATCGCGCCCGACACCAGCCTCCGGCGATTGTGGCGCGACGCCCACAGGGAACCTTCTAGCGAAATCTCCAATGCAACATGGCATTCTCCTAACACTGGTGAGGATCCCGAAGCCGATCTCCAGCATTGTCATCCGGCTTGGGCCGCTGCGGCACATGCGCGAGGCGATGTCCGCCTTCCACTGGCCCAGCGTCAGCGCGGCCACCTCGCTGCCGATAGCCGCGCCGCTCATCACGTTCAATACTTCAGCGCGACCCGCCTCTGCGGCTCGCTCGGCTTCGCCGCTTTCTTGGCCGACACCCGGCGCTTGAAGAACTGCGACGCGATCCTCTTCTTCAACTGCCGCCTGGACTCCCCCTCGGCACGCGGAGTCTCCGCGCGCGCCGCCGCCCGCGCTGACAAGGGCTTCCCGTCCACCGCCTGGGGGCCCGGGCGGTCTGTCAGCGCGGGCAAGCCGCCCCCCGACGGGGGAGCGGCGCGGCCCGCCTCCAGGGCAGAAGCACGACCCCTGGGCGGCTGTACTCCCAAGCGGCTGCGCAACTCTGCGGCGTCCGCGGCAGTGCCGATGTTGGTGACCGGCAACGCTCTGCTGTCCGGGCTTCCACCACGGCTCGGGCCTGCAGGGCAGTCGGCCAAGCTCTCGCCGCCGCCCCGGCCAGACCCCTAGCCGCGGCAGCCTCGATGCCCGTGACGAGCTCCTCGTCCTCAACTGAGAGGCTCACTCCACCATTGTCGGGGGGGATGAGCTCGAACCACTTCGCCGTCCTCGAATGGCCATCCCGTATGGTCTTTTGGATAGCCTTGATCCTGCAGAAGATGAAATCCAGGGCGTGAATGGGCTTGCCCGAGACTATGAGGTCCGCACTCTCCGCGAGCGTCCGCAGCTCGCGGTACCGGTCCTCGCCAATCTCACGAATGGGGTGCGCAGGCTTCAGCACCCGGAGCAAGAACTTGAGCGCCACGGGGCTATGCTTGGTCACACCTCCAGCATCATCATGGTCCAGAAACTGCGCCATGTTCTCCATCTCCCTCTCCGAGAGGCGCCCTGGATGCTTCTCCGCTATCTTCTTGTACGCCAGGCGGCGGGCCGCCACGGGGCGCCCGCCAGGGACGCGATCATCATCACTGTCAAACAGGCCGTCGTCGTCGTCGCCCTTCCGACTCAGGTACTCGGCGAGCGTCTTCAGTGCTGCCCGCTCGCCTGAGCCGCGAGCACGACCGCCATCTGCTGGACCAGCAGCGGCAGCACTCGGCGCCTGTCCAGTCATCCTCGCCTGGACCACCTCGCCGAGCTTGGCCCTCTTGTTGGGTGCGGCGGCCGCGGCCCCGCCTGCAGCGGCCTCCGGGCCGCGCACTGTCGCGAGCTTCTCCCGCAACTTATTGAAGCGCTCCAGGTAGCCGTCCTTCGCCGGGCCCTTCGCGCCTTCGGACTTGCCTGAAAGCGCTGCGAGCTCCCTGTCGAGCTCAGCAAAGGCCTCCGCGTCCGCCTCGTCGGCCTCCTCGTCGCCGTCGAGCTCCACCAGGTCGCCCCCAGCCTTGCCTACGCCGGCGGGGCGTTTCCTGGCCGGGCCAGCGATAGCGGCGCGACTCGGCGGCGGCCCTCTTCCTCCTCAGCGGCCTCAGCCTCATCTAAGGCGGCCTGAGCGACATCAGCCGGCAGCTCGGGGCAATCCTCATCGTGCTGGAGCACTGCCATGTGCCGCTCGACTGCCTGAGCGGCCGTGAGCCTCTGGGGCGCTCTGGTGTGGAGCACCTGGCACCCCTCCCGCGGTGCCGTGTAGCGACATCGCGAGACTGGCTCACGGCACACGTGTAAGATCATCTTCTCTCGCTTCGCAATGCGTGAATTAAGCCACCATGACAGATATTGGTCACCAGCAGCAAAGTACTCCACCTCGTAGGCGGTGCCCCCTGGGTTGTCCGACATCACTCTGCGCACCACGCCAAGAACAAAGCCCGCGTCGGACCCGTCATCATGCAAGACGGGATGTCGGAAGCACTCGCCCGGCGTCAGCACTGTCGAGCGGTCGTCCGCCATCAGCAGCCGCTCGGACGAGCACTGGTCGGGCCCAGGGGGCGCGGAAAGGTGTACGGTCAGGGTGCCTGAAGCGCTCGAGCTCCAGACCGCAGGACCTGACCTGCGGCGCAACCGCTTGAGCCGTACACCTACGGAACGATCGAGCGAAGGAGTGTTCACCCTGAGCTCTCCCGAGGCCCGTCGGGCGAACACTATATCACCTGCTCGCTCGACGGCGGCGCTTTGCCTAAGAGGTCCAAACATACGCCCCACCCCGAGGGTGTTATGTTACATTATTCTTCAGAAGTGGGAATTCAATCATAACAACAACAATCATTCTAAGACTGTTCGCTCTTTTCTGCTCGCGTGCCATTCCACACGTATATATCCCAAACCCTCGAGACCCGCCCTCTTCGTCTTCGATCGTACCCCCTTGGGGATCTATCTCTCTTGCCTGCAACTTGCATTCTGTGCAGCCCCAAAGACAGGGGAGGAGAGGACGGATGGAAGGAAGGGACAAGGGGGAGAGAGGAGGATGGAGCACGAGAGAGGGTAACAGGAGGGGGGCTAGGAGCAGGAAGCACGTGGCAGAACCACACAGGCAGATCGGATGGGTAGACCCTGCAGGCGGGTCGGGAACGCGGGCCCAGGCGCCCAGGTCGAGCAGGCGGATTGCTGAAGCGTGCGTCCTGCATGAATCGCGAGGACGTCTCGGGCGACAGTGCGATTTCCCAGTGAATCGTGAGGGAATCCACAGCGAGAGCGTAATTCCTGAGTGCCGAGGGCGCGGCGTCTAAATAAATTGCAAGAAAGCCCCACGCGAGAGCGCGATGTCTGCATACATTGTGAGGAAGTCCCGCGCGAGAGCACGATTTGGGAATACATTGTGAGGGGGTATAAGGCGGGAGCCGCTGTTGTTGTAAACCGGGGGCCCACAGCCTAATGCTGAGACTCAAGCCGTTCCCTCCTAACAACAGGGTGCGAGCCCCGGGAAGGGCATTTCAATTGGAAAACACAAGGTGCCCCGGAGGTGGGAGGATCAACAAAAACTATTCTTCAATAGAGATCTCAACAACAACCACCACCACCAACACCACCACCACAACAACAACAGCAACAGAAGCAACAACAACAGCAATCATTATGAGACTGTTCGCCCCTATCTGCTCACGTGCCAGTGCCAAACCCTCCGTACCCTCCCTCGTCGTCTTCGATCGTACCCCCTTGGGAGTAGATCTTCTTTACATGCCACGTGCATCTAGTGCAGCCCCTAAAACAAGCGAAGAGAGGACGGGTGGAAGGGGGAGGGAGAAGGATGGGGCACAAGAGAAATTAGAAGGAAGGGGGCAAGGAGCAGAAAACAAATGGTAGAATCAGCGTGCAGATCGGGTGAGCAGACCGATAGCGGGCAGGTCGGGAAGGCGGGCCCAGGCGACGAGGTCGAGCAGGCGGGTTGCTGAAACGTGGGTCCTGCGTGAATCGCGAAGAAGTCTCGAGCGATAGCGCGATTCCCAAGTAACTCGCGAGAGAAGCCAAAACGAGAGCGTGATTCCTGAGCGCCGAGGGCGCATCGTCTCAATAGATTGCGAGGAAGTCCCACGCGAGAGCGCGGTGCGTACATGAATTGTGTGGAAGGCCCGCGCGAGAGCGCGATTTAGGAATACATTATGAGTAGTATCAGGCGGAAGCCGCTGTTGTTGAAAACCGGGGGCCAGGGGCTCAGTTTGAGCCCAGTGACTTTCCCTGATTAAAAAAAGGTGCGATCCCCGGGGGAAGAACTTCAATTGAAAGAACGCAATGGTCACAAGAGGGGGAGGGTGCAATCACGTTTTCAGTAATGAGAGTTCAGTCCGCACCGCAGAACCACACTTCCGCCACGAGCCCAGGGGCATTGAATGACCTTTCAGCCCCTCACTCTGATAAATAAGACTACACATTAGGCATGCGTGCATATAAATCCGTCTTGCTGTGCAGATGCAGATACACCGTCATAATCTAAGTATGCATACATATTGATGGGTTTGCGTATGTCCAGCCTACACCAGCAACGCACATCACTAGCACACGCAAGCTGTCAGACCGATTGCGCATAAAGGTTCAAGTAAATAATCGAATGAGGCACACTCAAAGTCATACAACCATCGTGCATCAATAGCATATGTAACAACATGGCACTCACTTTGCTGTAATGAACGTCCATATGTGCGACTTAGATGTGCATGAACGTGTGACAATCGAATATGCAGCTCCCTGAAGCAAGGGGATGAGTTTGGCCTTCTCCAGCCCGCCACGCCGTTCAGGATGCTGATGCCGCACACGATACAACTCCTGGACCAGGTGGCGTCTCACCTGACAGCCCAGACTCATTCAGCGGGAGCGGGGGTGAGGAGAGAGATGTGGAGAGGGAGAGGCGGAGGGACAATCTGGAAGACGAGGAGGGCGGACAAGAAATCAAGAAGGAGGGGGGAAAGCAGGGGGAGGAAGGACGAGGCACAGGACAGGGAAGGCTATAGCGAGGAGGGCCGAGGCGGGGAAGGATGACGTGACGGCGGGGCGGCGGAGGGGAAGGGAGGCACAAGGGCGGCCGAACCGCTGCCAGCTGTTCAGCTGCGAGGCCACAAGGGCCGCCTCCACAGCGCGGCGGGCACCTCGACAGCGCCGCGTGCAGCCCGAGCCATGACGGGGCAGGGTTAGGGGTACGAGAAGTGTCATAAACACAAAAACTCGGAGGTCCGCGCAGATTTCTCGGATCCGCGCTGGGCCCCCTCCCTGGCGCGCGGAGCGCGCCAGGAGCGGCGCTGGAGGCGCCGCCAGGGGGCCCCAGCGCGGATCCGAGAAACCTGCGAGGACCTCAGAGTTTTTATGTTTATGTAATTCATCGTTCCCCTGAGGGTAGTTGTTACCCCGTGAGTGGCTCGACCTGTACAGTCAACCCGTATCATAAGGATGCGCTGTAAGGATGCAAAGGCCTCGGACGCCCATGTAAACGGTTTTCGAACGAAGTTGGCCAGCGACAGTGGCCAAGGATGGGCCGAAGGGGCAAGGATGCAAGGGTACCCTTGGGAAGGTTGCCCATCCTCACTATGCGGGTTGACTGCTCACTGTCGGAGGCATCGTAACTCCGAGGAGCACTTCTGGGCGCGGGTGCGCTGGCCCGGCGGTCGAAGCGGGATCCAGGAGCGGGGCTTCTAGACGATCGGCGCGCCGCTGGGCAGTGAGACCCGGGCTCGGCACTGACAGAGCAAGACGCGGCGCCCTGCCCACGGAGAGAGGCCCCGGCGGGACATCCCGAGAGGCAGCCTCGAAATCGGCCTCGGGGACGCGCCCCGCCGTGAGAGGCCGGGCGCACGCACGAGTGGGGGCCGCACCTGCGAGCGGCCAGCTGGGGTATAAAGCGCCTCGCGCTCGAGCGCCCAGGAGGAGGAGGAGGAGGAGGAGGAGGAGGAGGAGGAGGAGGAGGAGGAGGAGGAGGAGGAGGAGGAGTACGGGGGCGGAGGAGGAGGAGGAGGAGGAGGAGGAGGAGGAGGAGGAGGACGGGGGCGGTGGTGTCGTTTTTCTCTTGGTCGAGGCTAACCCCCGTTGGCATCGATCCCCCGTCTCTTGGCCCCCCCACCCAGTGGGAGCGGCGGCCTCCTCCCGGGCGCCCGCGGCGGGGCTGACCCCCGCGGCGGGAGCCTCCGCCGCCTCCTCGCGGCCATGCGGCGCGGCGGGCTCGCCGCTTCGCAGGGCCTCCGCGGGCGCGCCGCCCCTCGACGCCGCCGCCGCCGCCGCCGCCGCCGCCGCCACCGCCGCGTCGTCGTCGTCGTCGTCGTCGTCGTCGTCGTCGTCGTCGTCGTCGTCGTCGTCGTCGTCGCAGACGCAGCCGCCGCACGCGTCGTCGTCGTCGTCGTCGACGACGCCGCCGCCGTCGGGGAAAGAGGAGGGGGGGAGGAGTGGAGGGGGGAGAGGCGGGGGAGGACTGGGAGGTAAGTGATATGGAAGAGGAAGGGCAGGGAGGAGGGCGAGAGGGGGAGGAGGAGGCGGGGGGAGGAACAGGAGGCGGAGGCGGAGGAGGGGAATGTCAGAGCGGAAATACTGAGGGGGAAGTGCTTCCTCCTCCTCCTCCTTCTCCTCCTTGTCATCCTGCGCTTCCCTCTTCCTCTATACTCCTCTTTCTCCTCCTCCATTCTTCCCCAACCATCCTGTGGTGCTGGGTCCTCGTTTTGAAGAGACTGTCCCCGCGTTTCTCCCGCCTCCTTCCTCCCTCCTCCCCATCCTCCCTGCTCCCTGTGTCCCACCCACCAAGTACAGCGTTCGGTGGCCCGTGGCCCTATGAGGAGCTCCACCGAGGATCCCAGTGGGACCGCCCGCATGCGTCAACCACAACCCAGCACTACCCTTCCTCCTTGCGTTTCGCCCACCCAGTACAACGCTTCGTGGCCCCATAGAGAGCTCCACCGAAGGTCCCAGTGGGACCGCCCGCATGCGTCAACCACCACCCAATACAGCCCTTCCTCTCTGCGTTTCGCCTTCCCGGTACATAGCTCTTCGTGGCCCCATGGGGAGTTCCACCGAGGGTCACAGTGCGACCGCCAGCATGCGTCTGCCACCACCCAGTACAACGTTTCGTGGCCACATGGGGAACTCCACCGATGGTCCCAGTGGGACCACCCGCATGCGTCAACCACCACCCAGCACAGCGCTTCGTGTTCCCATGGGGGGGCTCCACCGAAGGACCCAGTGGCACCGCCCGCATGCGTCTGCCACCACCCAGCACAGCGTTTCGTGGCCCCATGGGGAACTCCACCGATGGTCCCAGTGGGACCGCCCGCATGCGTCAGTCACCACCAAGTACAGCGTTTCGTGGCCCCATAGGGAACCCCACCGAAGGTCCCAGTGCGACCGCCAGCATGCGTCAGCCACCACCCAGTACAGCGTTTCGTGGCCACATGGAGAACTCCACCGATGGTCCCAGTAGGACCGCCCGCATGCGTCAACCACCACCCAGCACGGCGCTTCGTGTTCCCATGGGGGGCTCCACCGAAGGACCCAGTGGCACCGCCCGCATGCGTCTGCCACCACCCAGCACAGCGTTTCGTGGCCCCATAGGGAACCCCACCGATGGTCCCAATGGGACCGCCCGCATGCGTCAGCCACCACCCAGTACAGCGCTTCGTTGCCCCGTTGGGAGCTCCACAGAAAGACCCCAGCGGCACCGCCCGCATGCGTCGTCCACCACCCAGTACTACACTTCGCGGCCCCATTGATTGGGAGCTCCAACAGGCCCCAGTGGCACCGCCCGCATGCGCCCCCCGTTTCGTGGCCCCGTAGGGAGCTCCAGTGGCCCGCCCGCATGCGACCCCCCACCCAGTACAGCGCTTCGTGGGCCGATAGCGAGCTCCACCGAAGGCCCTAGTGGCACCGCCCGCATGCGTCCCCCCCTCCCGTGGCCCCATAGGGAGCTCCACCGAAGGTCCCAGTGGCACCGCCCGCATGCTTCGGCCACCACCCAGTGCAGCGTTTCGTGGCCCCGTAGGGAGCTCCACAGAAAGACCCTAGCGGCACCGCTCGCATGCGTTTCCCCCAACCAAAACAACGTTTCGTGGCCTCATCAGGAGCTGCAGCGAGTGGCACCGCCCGCATGCGCCAGCCACACCCAGTACAGCGTTCCGTGGCCCATAAGGAGCCCCACCGAAGGCCCCAATGGCACCGCCAGCATGCGTCTCCCCCACCCATTACGGCACGTCCCTCACGCGTTCCGTGGCCCCATAAGGGAGCTCCACCGAAAGCGGCACCCACAAATCTTTACTCACAACTGCAAAACTCACAACTGCAAATGGTTGGGTCCTTCGTCCGGATAGTTCCCGCCGCTATTTTCCATTACCCCTTCTCCCCTACCTGGAGACCATCCCCTTGCTTTCATCATGTCTGGCGGAATGGTGTAGTTCTGCGGAAAAACGATGCGACTACTACCACGGATGCAGACTCGCATCTGGCTATGACAGGAACCCGCTGGGTGAGCCCGTGGCCCCTGCGTAGCGTCTGGAACACACCTGACTTAAGAGGGGAGTGGAGAGATAGGCATTCCACCCGATGGTGCGCCAGCGGATAAGGGGACGAGGGGACAAGTAATGAACAGGAAGATGGGACGGACGAGGAGATGGGAGAGAATGGGAAATTACGCTACCGAGGAACCCCACATACTTAATTTAAATATTATGTGTTTGCTTATGTATAAAATATATATGCACAATCCTTCGTTCTGAGCCCTCTGGCGGCCGCGCTCAGAGACCCCCTGTGGTGTCGAGAAAGTGCCACGGCTGCAAAGCTTTGCGCCAGTGTCGTGGATAGCGGCCGAGCTGAGAGACCATCCCCTGCCCACCTCCTTTGGTGTCGAGAAAGTGCCACGCCTGCTAGCCTTTGCGCCAGTGTCGTGGATAGCGGCCGAGCTGAGAGACCACCCCCTGCGCACCCCCTGTGGTGTCGCGAAAGTGCCACGCCTGCTAGGTTTTGCGACAGTGTCGTGGATAGCGGCCGAGCTGAGAGACCATCCCCTGCGCACCCCCTTTGGTGTCGAGAAAGAGCCACGCCTGCTAGGCTTTGCGACAGTGTCGTGGATAGCGACCGAGCTGAGAGACCACCCCCTGCGCACCCCCTACGGTGTCGAGAAGGTGCCACGCCTGCTATCCTTTGCGCCAGTGTCGTGGATAGCGGCCGAGCTGAGAGACCACCACCTGCGCATCCCGTGCGGTGTCGAGAAAGTGCCACGCCTGCTAGGCTGTGCGCCAGTGTCGTGGATAGCGGCCGAGCTGAGAGACCACCCCCTGCGCACCCCCTGTGGTGTCGAGAAAGTGCCACGCCTGCTATCCTTTGCGCCAGTGTCGTGGATAGCGGCCGAGCTGAGAGACCACCCCCTGCGCACCCCATGTGGTGTCGAGAAAGTGCCACGCCTGCTAGGCTTTGCGCCAGTGTCTGCTACCCCCTGCCCCCGCCACGCCTGCTTGGTTGCGAGCCAAGTGGATAGATGCTGAGAGACCACCCCTGAGAAAGTGCCACGCCTGCTAGGCTTTGCGCCAGTGTCGTGGATAGCGGCCGAGCTGAGAGACCACCCCCTGCGCACCCCCTGTGGTGTCGAGAAAGTGCCACGCCTGCTAGGCTTTGCGCCAGTGTCGTGGATAGCGGCCGAGCTGAGAGACCACCCCCTGCGCACCCCCTGTGGTGTCGAGAAAGTGCCACGCTGCTAGGCTTTGCGCCAGTGTCGTGGATAGCGGCCGAGCTGAGAGACCACCCCCTGCGCACCCCCTGTGGTGTCGAGAAAGTGCCACGCCTGCTAGGCTTTGCGCCAGTGTCGTGGATAGCGGCCGAGCTGAGAGACCACCCCCTGCGCACCCCCTGTGGTGTCGCGAAAGTGCCACGCCTGCTAGGTTTTGCGCCAGTGTCGTGGATAGCGGCCGAGCTGAGAGACCACCCCCTGCGCACCCCCTGTGGTGTCGAGAAAGTGCCACGCCTGCTAGGCTTTGCGCCAGTGTCGTGGATAGCGGCCGAGCTGAGAGACCACCCCCTGCGCACCCCCTGTGGTGTCGAGAAAGTGCCACGCCTGCTAGGCTTTGCGCCAGTGTCGTGGATAGCGGCCGAGCTGAGAGACCACCCCCTGCGCACCCCCTGTGGTGTCGAGAAAGTGCCACGCCTGCTAGCCTTTGCGCCAGTGTCGTGGATAGCGGCCGAGCTGAGAGACCACCCCCTGCGCACCCCCTGTGGTGTCGAGAAAGTGCCACGCCTGCTAGGCTTTGCGCCAGTGTCGTGGATAGCGGCCGAGCTGAGAGACCACCCCCTGCGCACCCCCTGTGGTGTCGAGAAAGTGCCACGCCTGCTAGGCTTTGCGCCAGTGTCGTGGATAGCGGCCGAGCTGAGAGACCAGCAGTGTCGAGAGTGCCACTAGGCTTTGCGCCACGTGGATAGCCGAGCTGAGAGACCACCCCCTGCCCACCCCCTTTGGTGTCGAGAAAGTGCCACGCCTGCTAGCCTTTGCGCCAGTGTCGTGGATAGCGGCCGAGCTGAGAGACCACCCCCTGCGCACCCCCTGTGGTGTCGAGAAAGTGCCACGCCTGCTAGCCTTTGCGCCAGTGTCGTGGATAGCGGCCGAGCTGAGAGACCACCCCCTGCCCACCCCCTTTGGTGTCGAGAAAGTGCCACGCCTGCTAGGCTTTGCGCCAGTGTCGTGGATAGCGGCCGAGCTGAGAGACCACCCCCTGCGCACCCCCTGTGGTGTCGAGAAAGTGCCACGCCTGCTAGGCTTTGCGCCAGTGTCGTGGATAGCGGCCGAGCTGAGAGACCACCCCCTGCGCACCCCCTGTGGTGTCGAGAAAGTGCCACGCCTGCTAGCCTTTGCGCCAGTGTCGTGGATAGCGGCCGAGCTGAGAGACCACCCCCTGCGCACCCCCTGTGGTGTCGAGAAAGTGCCACGCCTGCTAGGCTTTGCGCCAGTGTCGTGGATAGCGGCCGAGCTGAGAGACCACCCCCTGCGCACCCCCTGTGGTGTCGAGAAAGTGCCACGCCTGCTAGCCTTTGCGCCAGTGTCGTGGATAGCGGCCGAACTGAGAGACCACCCCCTGCGCACCCCCTGTGGTGTCGAGAAAGTGCCACGCCTGCTAGGCTTTGCGCCAGTGTCGTGGATGGCGGCCGAGCTGAGAGACCACCCCCTGCGCACCCCCTACGGTGCCGTGAAACTGCCACGCCTGCTAGGCTTTGCG